AAAAAAAAAAAAGAGTGGTCTGTGTGAAGTGGCTCATGCCTGTAATCCTTGCACTCTGGGAGGCTGAGGTGGGAGCATCACTTAAGGTGAGGAGTTTGAGACCAGTCTGACCAAGAGCAAGGCCCCATCTCTACTAAAAATAGAAAAAAATTAGCCAGGTGTGGTGGTGTGCATCTGTAGTCCCAGCTACTCGGGAGGCTGAGGCAGGAAGATCACTTGAGCCTAGGAATTGGAAATTGCAGTGAGCTACTGTCATTCCATTGAACTCTAGTCCCTGCAATGAGTGAGACCCTGTTTCAAAAAAAAAAAAAAGTGAGCTGTCAATTTCTCCAGACTTTTAAGATTCTAAGAGTCAGTCCAGCAGAGTATCAGTACCTCCTGGGTTTCTTGTCAGGGTACTGAAAACTGTCTCCCAGAGGAATATTCTCACATTTTATAATTAAGTAAACTATCAAAGAAAGTAAATTGCCTATAAATCAAAAATAATATTTCATCCTTAGGAGAATATCCCACATTGTTAAATACTTCCTTATCCAACTTGAAGTTCTATCTTCATCCCTGGATCAAGCACTTCTAGAAATAAGTCTCATAGACGTTCTCTCTGCTTTACAGTATATATTAGCTAAATTCTATAGAACCTTCACAGTATATTACATTTTCTCCTTAGCAGGTTCAACATTTCTCTGTTGGTTTATTTATTTATTTTTATTGAGACAGAGTTTTACTTTGTCGCCCTGGGTAGAGTGCTGTGGTGTCACAGCTCACAGCAACCTCAAACTCTTGGGCTCAAGTGATTCTCTTGCCTCTGCCTCCCAAGTAGTTGTGACTACAGGCACCCACCACAATGCCTGGCTATTTTTAGAGACGGGGCTCCAGCTGGTCTCGAACTCTTGTGCTCAGGCAATCTACCCACCTCAGCCTCCCAGAATGTTAGGATTATGGGCATGAGCCACCATGCCCAGCACTCTGTTGGTTTATATCATATCTTATCTTTGATATTCTTCTGGTGGCTAGGAGGGGAGGCGGGCACAGATCTTGAAGGAAGGTATATATAGTCTTTAAGGGTAGAGGCTTCTTAATCATCTTCAAGAGAAAAGCATTAGTTTTTAAAGAGTGGGCCTCTTTAAGAACCTCCAATTCCTAGCCTCAAGCGATCCTTGTGCCTCAGCCTCCCAAATACCTGAATATATCAACCCAGATGTCTTCATCTCTCAAGTTCCCCTTTTTTCCCCAGTCAGGACCCTGAGCTTTCATGACAAACTTGGCTAGGTTGACAATTTAACATTCTTGGAACAGTGCTACCAAGAAGTCCTGAGATTAGGTCTCAGTTTTTTCTGCCCTTCCATGACAGAAAAGAATTTGTTTCTTTTTTTTTTTTTCTTTCTGTTGTTCACATTTAGACTTTAATTAGTTATCCTTGGTTTTTGGTTGTCTCTTTCAAAAGCATTACAGTAGAACCTCTGTCAGTTGACCACCCAAGGGATTGAACCAAACTGGTCAACACACAGAGGTGGTCAACATAAGGAACTAGGCCTCCTGTTACTGATACATGTATGTGGTACGTGTCCAGTCTGCAAAAATTAGGTCAACTTAAGGAAGTAGTCAATGTAGGGAGAGGGTCAGCTATGGAGGTTTGACTGTAATTCCAGCAATTTCCATCCAATACCATTGTCTTTATAATTACTACTTCCCCATGTTACTTGAATGCCTTGTGTATTGCACCCTGCTGTTCCCTTCTATGTGTATACCATCCCAGTTCATCACCAGTGAAAGCTTTTTTTTTTTTTTTTTTTTGGTTTTTGGCTGGGGTTGGGTTTGAACCCACCACCTCCAGCATATGGGGCCGGCGCCCTACTCCTTGAGCCACAGGCACCGCCCACCAGTGAAAGCTTTAACAGTCGCAATGCTTTCTTTTGCCTGTGCTCCCTTGTGCCGGGGAGGAAGTCCTCCTTGCCAGCCAGGAAGCAGCAACCTAGCTCCAAAATCCCATCTTAGCATGCATTTTTGACACCTCTTGGCACCAACTGTCACAAGTTGTATTCTCCAAGAAGCAAATTCTGAGATAGAAATTTGCAGAAAATTTCTAGGGGGAAGCATTCTCAGGAGGACACCTGTGAGGGAGATGGAAGGAAACCAAACTGAGTAAAAAAAGAAATTGAGCTGCAAAGAAGCCAGTGGAGGCCAACAAAGCCTCAGCTGATCCCAAATGGACTTTTAAATCTGTGATGGCCCTTCTGAGTTCAAGGAAGAAACCAGGCCTTTATAATGTCCTCACATCAACCAGTCATTGGTTGCAGGCTACCCTGCAAGGAGGCATGACTTTGGGCCAGATGGCTCTTTTCAGCAGAGATTAATTTAAGTAATTCCTCAGTTTTGAAAAGGGAATCTGGAACAGTGCCGAACAGAATCCATGACAGTGATGCTGGTGGGCTTCTCAGAACCAAGAGGAACAGAGATGGGCCTATCCTTCAGGTGAGGAAGTACTTTGACAAGTGTAACCTTCTGGTGAAGGCATGATTGCTTCCTTTATCTCCCAATTAAGATGACATGATCCTGGTTGCAAAATTTACACTCACTGTAGAACAATTTTATTTATTTATTTTAATTTTTTTTTTTTTTTTGAGACAAGAGTCTCACTTTTTTGCCCTCAGTAGAGGGCCAGAGTGCTGTGGTGTCATAGCTCACAGCAACCTCACACTCTTGGGCTCAAGTGATTCTCTTGCTTCAGCCTCTTAAGTAGCTGGAGCTACAGGTGCCTGCCACAACACCTGGCTAATTTTAAAGATGAGGTCTTGCTCTTGCTCAGGCTAGTCTCAAATGCCTGAGCTCAAGCAATTCACCCACCTTGGCCTCTCAGTGCGTGAGCTACTACACTCAGCTATTTCTTGAGTTAGAGCAAGAGACCCCAGACAGCTTAACACTTTAGTTATATTTCTGCTTTAATAGAGTAACATTTGAAAATACATAGACATCCAGGAAAAAAGATAAAGCCATTTAGAGGTATTGAGAACACAATCGTGCTTTAATTTAGGTCTTAAGTTTCTAATTTTAACAGCTATCATATTTCTAGATCATGTCCACCAGCTCGGCAAACACATTTAATGGTAATAGTATAGAGTACTTCACATCGTAACGCATGTCAAATACCCATTGTATAAATTCACTGTGTTTCACCTTGTTTTTTGACTTATTTTTCATAAGAAAGGGGGTATATCTATAATTAACAATCTGAGTTAGGTTTCTGAAGACATAGGTATGACATATTGCCTGTCAATTTGCTTCTCCACCTGAATTTATTTAAAAAGTATAATTTATTATTTAAAGAAATTTTGTAGAATGGGAATCTAATTAATTTCACAGTGATGTTGGTTGAAAATTATACCCAAAAATGCAGGTATTTTCCAGAATAATAGGATAGGTAACAGCATTAAAGCATAATTTTTAAAGAATTCATAAGGAAAAAATGATGAAATTGAAGCTTCTTTTTCAGATGCTTTAAAATTTCTATAAAACTCTTTGTCCCAAGAGGAATCATTTAACCACGGTACACAAAACATACTGAATACATTGCCTGACGTCAGGGTGCAGAAACTTTTCTTTTACATAATAAAATCTTCTTCTGGTCCATCTTCACCCAAGTCCTGGTTGTCTGAAGGCAGATTCCTGTCAAGAGACCTAGAGTTGTAGTAGAAAGCATCACTTTCATCTACTGGCTGGTATTCCTGCTCCATTTCAGTCAGGAAGCCACTTCCAGATCCAGATCCTGAGCCAGAGCCAGAGCCTGACCCAGAGTCATCTTCAGAAAGAGGGAAGATATCATTCCAGTTCTGCAATCTTGTCATTCTAAAGAAAAATGGAAAAAACAAAGTAAAAAAAAAAATTTTTTTTTTTTAGATACAGAGTCTCACTTTATTGCCCTTGGTAGAGTGCCGTGGCGTCATGGCTCACAGCAAACTCCAGCTCTTGGGCTTAGGCGATTCTCTTGCCTCAGCCTCCCCAGTAGCTGGGACTACAGGCCCTCCACAATGCCCAGCTATTTTTTTTGTTGCAGTTAGACTGGGGCCGGGTTTGAACCCGCCACCCTCGGTAAATGTGGCCGGTGCCCTACTCACTGAGCCACAGGCACTGCCCAAAACTGTTAATTTTCTTACCTCTAGCACAGCGATCCTGTATTTCAAATTCACTTAAGGAATCAGTTAAAAAAAAAAAAAAAAGGCAGCGCCTGCGGCTCAAAAGAGTGGGGCACCGGCCCCACATGCCGGAAGTGGTGAGTTCAAACCCAGCCCCAGCCAAAAACTGCGCAAAAAAAAACAAAAAAAAGAACTCTTTTTTTCATTTTCTCACTGAAGAGAGGACAAACAACTAATTTTACCTAGCATTTTTCCTAAATTAAAATTTCCATGAGACTTCTAATAGTGGCCAGGTGTGGTGGCAGGTGCCTATAGTCTCAGCCACTAGGGAGGCTGAGGTCAGAGGATCACTGGAGCCCAAAAGTTTGAAGTGGCTGTGAGCTATTAGACCACAGCACTCTACCCAGAGTGACAAAGTAAGACTCTGTCTCAAAAAATAAAAATTATGGCTTGTTGCCTGTAGCTCAGTGGCTAGGGCACCAGCCACATACACCGTAGCTGGCGGGTTCAAATCCAGCCCAGGCCTGCCAAACAGCAATGACAACTACAACCAAAAAATAGTCAGGCGTTGTGGCAGGTGCCTGTAGTCCTAGCTATTTGGGAGGCAGAGGCAAGAGAATCACTTAAGCCCAAGAGTTTGAGGTTGCTGTGAGCTGTGATGTACCCAGGGCGACATAGTGAGACTCTGTCTCAAATAAATAAATAAATATAAAATAAAAATTATAGTAATTTACAGTGTTTCAACAAAGCTAAGATAAGCATTGTACCTCACATATGCCAGCGTGTTAACATTCAGTAACACTCAGTTTCTTCCCCCACAAATACATCCCAGTCCAGGTGTGGTGGCTCATGCCTGTAATCCCAGCACTTTAAAATGCTGAGGCAGGAGGATCACGTGAGGCCAGGATTTGGAGACCAGACTGGGCAACATAGTGAGACTTCATCTCTACTAAAAATAGAAAAATTAGCTGGGTGAGGTGGTGCATGCCTACAGTCTCAGCTACTTGGGAGGCTGAGGCAGGAGTATCACTTGAGCCCAGGAGTTTGAGCCTGCCAGCAAGCTACGATCAGGCCACTCCACTTAGCCTGGCCAACAGAGACTGTGTCTTAGAAAAAAAAAAAAGAAAAGAAAAAAAATATATATATATACACATACAAACACACACACACTGTATATAGCTCTCACAAAATTACCCCGCCTTCAACCTGAATTCAGTCAGCTGAAGAATGCTGAAAGGTGGGGCTACTTTCTGGTTTGGGTGGTGGTTACAATTTTAGCAAGTACCAAACAGCTAGAGCAATGGTGCCAGTCCTCAGAGGCAGAACAGTGCAACAAAGCATCAGAAATATACTGAGGAGGTGCTTCAAAGGCAGGGTACAGCAATGGTGTGAAATAGTTGTTTTGGAGATTTTGGGTTATTCCCCTAACATTTTAGATTTAAATGAATTATGTTGAAGTCCATGACTTCAAGCTATGGAGGATTAATGCTGTGGTCTTGGCTCGGCGCCTGTGGCTCAAGTGGCTAAGGCGCCAGCCACATACACCTAAGGTGGTGGGTTTGAATCCAGCCTGGGCCCACTACCAAACAACAATGACGGCTGCAACCAAAAAATAGCTGGGTGTTGTGGCAGGCGCCTGTGGTCCCAGCTACTTGGGAGGCTGAGGCAGGAGACTCGCTTGAGCCCAGGAGTTGGAGGTTGCTGTGAGCTGTGATGCCATAGCACTCTACCCAGGGAGATAGCTTGAGGCTCTGTCTCAAAAAAAAAAAAAAATGCTGTGGTCTTAAAGCATAGGGGGTAGGACTGCAAAGTTGCACTTTGGCGATTGCTATATTTACTCTCTAATGCAATGAATGTTGGTGATACGCAGTCACCAGAATCCCCAAAATGATAACGGGTTTTCCTGGTTTGGGCATGATGATTTACCTGGCTTTGAGGATAGTGATTTTCTAGGTTTGAGTTTAAAGATGAAAACTTTTATGATAAGCCTTTCTTTTTCTTTTCTTTTCTTTTCTTTTTTTTTTTTTTTTTTTTGAGACATAGTCTCACTCTGTCATCCCCTGGTAACCTCAAACTCCTAGGCTCAAGCGATCCTTTTGCCTCAGCATCCTGAGTAGCTGGGGCTATAGACACCACCACAAAGCCTGGCCAGGTTTTTCTATTTCTATGGGGTCTCGCTCTTGCTCAGGCTGGTCTCAAACTCCTGAGCTCAAGTGATCCACCCACCTCAGCCTCCCAAAGTGCTAATAATCCTTTTCTTAATACATTTCTGCTACATGCTATATAATGTCGGTCTTCATTGAAATAATGGATTCTAGTATAATTCAAATTTTTGTTACTTATGAGTATTTTTTACAAGATTAAAGTTGGTTTTATTTGATCAAGAAGAGGCTTGATTTTTGTTTTACAAGTCATGGTCATTAATTATTTTCTCTAATTTTTAAAAATCATTACTATATAATTTCAGAACACTTAAATCACACTTCCTCCAAAAAATTCTTACTGTTAACGGTCTTCCCTTATTTCTCCCTCCCCCCAGCCCCTGGCAACCACTATTCTAATTTCTGCCTCTAAGGATTTGCCTATTTGGAACATTTCCTACGGTTGGAATAATACAACAGGAGGCTCTTTGTGCCTGGCTTCTTTCACTCTGAACAATGTTTTTGAGGTTCATCTATGTTGTAGCATATATCAGTACTTTGTTCTATGGTCAAATAATATTCCTCTGGGCTGGTGTGGTGGCTCACACCTCACACCTCGCACTTGAGGTGGCCAAGGTGGGTGGATTGCTTGCGCTCACAAGTTTAAGACCAACCCAAGCCAGAGCGATACCGTGTCTCTACTAAAAATAGAAGAACTGAGGCAAGAGGATGATTTGAAGCCAAGAGTTGGAGGTTGCTGTGAGCTATGATGCCATAGACAGTCATAGTGCTTGCTTTGGTAATTTGGTTTTTATTGTACAGTGTAAGGTAAAATTGCAGGAACAAGCCACAGTGCCCAGTCCGATATTAAAGTGGTTGTCACAAGGGGTGCAGCTCTACCCAGGGTGACAGCTTGAGACCCTATCTCAAAAAAAAAAAAATCCTTTGTATGGATATATGACATTTTGCTTATCCATTCAGTGTTCAACTCCTACTGGATTTTAATATATAGTGTGTTTTGTTTATATAAATAAAATAATGTTCAATCATTTCCACACCTGTTGTGAAAAAGTACTCAAAGATCGTCTCTAGCACCCATTAAAAAACCCTGGCAAAAATGTAGCTGAATCACATATACTTCCACCTGTCATATACCATTATATACAGCGCAATTTTATCATGTACTGTACAATAAAAACCAAACTACCAAAGCAAGAACTGGCAGAAAAACTCTGGACAATCCACCTACTTCTGTGCCATGATTTCAACAGAGGCTGTGAATTATAACCACTTTAAAATCAGGATGGGCACTGTGGCTTGTTTTTGTAATCTCAGCACTTTAGGAGGCTGAGACAGGAAGATCACTTGAGGCCAGAAGTTCAAGATCATCCTGGGCAACATAGTGAGACCCTGTCTCTAACTCTCCCTTCAAAAAAGATTAAAAAAATTAAAATCAGAAGAAAGTCCACTTACGAAAAAGGGTCAGTCCTTGGAGGGAGAATCCTATTGGATTCATCTGGAACAAGGTCAAACATCGGTCCCTTTTCATCAATGCAGTTTGCGGAATTACTGTTGGGATTGCAGCGTACCCACTGGTACCTGGCTCTTCGCATAGGGTAACCTGCCCAAATAAGGATCCATATGGTTAATCAGCATGTATTACAGTTTCCAATCACTCAGTCCCTAAGAAGTTCTTAACTAAATAGATTCTAACTTTAGGAGAAAATAAAATGTAGATGGGTTTTACTCCCAGTTATCTAACAGCAACACTGACAATGGGCCAGCTATGTATATACATTGTCCTTTGCATAATACTCCAGAAAGTAGGAGAGAGTTTTAGGTTAGAATAGGCATTAGTGAGGGGCACCTGTAATCCTAGCACTCTGGGAGACCAAGGTGGGTGGATTGCCTAAGCTCACAGATTTGAGACCAGCCTGAGCAAGAGCGAGAACCCCCCACCTCTAAAAATAGCTGGGCGTTGTGGCGGGCTCCCATAGTCCCCGCTACTTGGAAGGCTGAGGCAAGAGAATCACTTGAGCCCAAGAATTGGATGTTGCTGTGAGCTATGATCCCACAGCACTCTACTGAGGGCATCAAAATGAGACTCTCAAAAAAAAAAAAAAATAGAATAGACGTTAGAATCAATTGCTGGAGTGAAGTCCCAGCTCTGATACTGACTAGTTATGAAACCTTAACTTTTCTCAAACTCCGCTGTAGAGTGAAGATGCTTTTAATAATAGTGTCATAAGCTTCTCACAAAAAGTAAATGAGAAAATGCATATAAAGTCCTATATGTGGTGCCAGGCCCAAAGCCTGTCTCCTTTTACAGAGATAAGTTGAATCAGTTCCAAAAATGTAAGGAATACAGTAACTAGTACCTGCGATATTACAGAATCCTAGTTCTTGTGTTTTAGGACTAGATGGTAGCCATAGGAATAAAAAGTTCATCTTAAAACTTGTCCCCTCAGCTCGGTGCCCGTAGGACAGTGGTTATGGCACCAGCCACATACACCTAGGGTGGTGGGTTCGAACCCTGCTCAGGCCTGCTAAACAACGACAAGTGCAACAAAAAAAATAGCCAGGTGTTGCAGCCGGCGCCTATAGTCCCAGCTGCTTAGGAGGCTGAGGCAAGAGAATCTCTTAAACCCAAGAGTTGGAGGTTGCTGTGAGCTGTAACATTATGGCACTCTGAGTGAGACTTTGTCTCAAAAAAAAAAAAACCAAAAAAAAACTTGTCCCCAGCCTGATGTGGTGGTCCAATCCTGTAATCCTAGCACTTTGAGAGGGTGAGGTAGGAAGAACACTTGAGCCCTGGAGTTTGGGGCTACAGTGAGCTATGATGACACCACTGCACTCTAGCCTGGGCAACAGAGAAAGACTCTATCTCAAAAGAAAAAAAACGTATACTCTTTCTTCACAAGAACAAGCCTCCTCTATTCATGAAGGAACAGGTGAGTTAGAATGTCAGAGTTTCTCATAGCATCTTTTGAATTTAATTTCTATGGACGAGCCCCCAAATCTAGTGTTATGAGGTTATATGGGAGATCCTTTATTAGCTCATGAAATGAAATCTTCATTCCTCAATTTAGCAAGGACGGAGCCCTGGTGTGAGAAAGATTTCACCACTCTTCAGAAGATTCATCTCCTCCCCACCCCAAGCACACACTTTATTTAATTTATTTTGAAACAGAGTTTCACTATATTGCCCTCGGTAGAGTGCTATGGCATCACAGCTCATAGCAACCTCAAACTCTTGGACTCATGTGATTCTCTTGCCTAATCTTCCCAAGTAGCTGGGACTATAGGCACCCGCCACAATGCCCGGCTATTTTTTTGTTGCAGTTGTCATTGTTGTTTAGCTGGCCCAGGCTGGGTTTGAACCCGCCAGCCTCGGTGCATGTGGCCAACACAGTAACCACTGTGCTATGGGCGCTGAACCCACACACTTTATTTTAACTAACAAGTGCTACTAGTAATTACCTAGCAAGAAGAAACATGTCTAGAATTTTTTTAAAAGCAGGAAATGGGATTTTAAAGCCCAGCACAAAACAATGGAAACACTCAGATAAATTACACTCATGAGGGAGAATATCGACCAAATGGTGAAAAAGTGGGTCTTAGGGAAAAAACTATGTAGCATCACAGGAAGAACCTATATTTAAAAATGAACAAAAAAAATCCAAATACCACTTTGTATGCATAATAGTTTCAACTGTACAAACATATAGGAGGAAAATGGGAGGAAATACACAAAAATAACTATCGTAGTAAGATCTTTGGAACTACTGCAGTAGAATCTTTGGTGGATTTTTTTCTCATTTTGTTTTCAGAATTGCTGTAATAATATCTTTTAATTAATTTATTTATTTGAGACAGAGTCTCATTATATCACCCTCGGTAGAGTGCTGTGGCATCACAGCTCACAAAACTCTTGGGCTAGAGGAATTCTCTCACCTCAGCCTCCTGAGTACCTGGGACTACAGGCGCCCGCCACAACGCCCAGCTATTTATTTATTATTTTTTTTGTAGAGACAAAGTCTCACTTTGTCATCCTCGGTAGAATGCCATGGCGTCACAGCTCACAGCAACCTCCAGCTCTTAGGCTTAGGGTGGCATCACAGCTCACAGCAACCTTCAGCTCTTAGGCTTAGGTGATCCAGCCTCCTGAGGAGCTGGGACTACAGGCACCCACCATAACACCCAGCTATTTTTTTGTTGCAGTTTGGCCGTGGCTGGGTTTGAACCCGCCACCCTTGGCATATGGGGCCAGCATGCTACCCACTGAACCACAGGCTCCACCCAACGCCCAGCTATTTTTGTTGTAGTTGTCATTGTTTTTTTGGTAGGCCCAGGCAGGATTCAAACCCGCCAGCTCTGTTATATGTGGCTGGCGCCTTAGCCGCTGAGCTACAGGCACCAAGCCTATTATTTATTTTTATTTATTTATTTATTTATTTTAAGACAGAGTCTCACTTTGTCACCCTCAGTAGAGTGCTGTGGCTTCATAGCTCACAGCAACCTCAAACTCCTGAGCTCAACTGATCCTTTTGCCTCAACCTCCCAAGTAGCTGGAAGTACAGGCATCTGCCACAACACCCAACTATTCTTTGAGATGGGTCTAACTCTTGCTCAGGCTTGTCTTGAACCTGTGAGCTCAGGCAATCCACCCACCTCAGCCCCCTAGAGTTCTAGGATTACAGGCATGCGCCACTGCGCCTGGCCTAAACAATATTCTTTTAAAAATATAAATATTAAAAAACTCCAATGTAGAATAAAATAAATATTCTCCCATTGGAACTAACTTTTTTCTTTCCTTCCTTCCTTCCTTTCCTTTGGAACTAATATTCTATCATAATCTTCCCTATGGCTCCTGAGTATAGCCTACAATGTCCAGTCTGAGACAGCTAGTTGCCCAAAATGGGTTAGCTCCATCACCGCCTGGAGGCTGGGGATAAGGCAGGCACGATTACATCTCCATGTCTGCCCTTTATCTGCTGTGTGAGCTTGACCACCTTAACCTTCCTAGGCCTCTGTTTCTTCATCTGTTAAACGGGGACAACAGATATGAGATATGAATGTTAGGTTCTTAGAATAGTACCCAGCGACAGCCATGGTCAGAGCTCTTTAATGCTACTTTCTCTGATGATGCAGAGGATGAGAACAACAACTTATCTCTGAAAGGAGAGAGCTTGTAAATTTAAATTTAAATTCATATTTTACCATGCAGTACCTCTCTGATCCTCTATTTATGGTCTTTAAAATCTGAATAATGCTATCCCAAAACATTGCTATTTAAATGAGATAAAACAATGTGAAGCGTCCAGCCTAAGCTTTTCACAGAGTAGGTTATTTCCTATGATTTGCTCCTTCTTTCTTTTTTTCTAATTTTTCCTGAGGCAGCATTAGTTTGGCATTTAATGGCTGCTTAGAAACCTTTTCTTATAGGTGTGACCAAAAAACAAAACAAAACAAAACAAACTCACATCTCCTCCAGCAGAGGGCAGTGTTTTCACACCCCACACAGTCTAGACCAGCACTGTCCAACAGAGACATAAAGCAACCTGCACAGGGTGTTTCAAATGTTTCTACCAGCCATATTTTTAAAAATAAAAACAGATGGAATTAATTTTAATACAGTTTACTTAGCCAAATATATTGTAATCAATGTGAGAGTTATTAATAGGATAGTTTGCTTTCTCTTTTTATCCCAAGTCTTCCAAATCATGTATGTTTTGCATTCACAGGTGTCTCAAAGTGTTCAGTAGCACAGGTGGTTCATGGCTGCTGCCCTCGACGGATCCCGGCCCTCTCCTCTGCATGTGGCTAACACAGGGAATATCAAGCCAAGAAAACGTGTGTGTACATGGGAAATTAAACAAAAAAGAAAAACAATGTTTTAGGGGCTTCCTCAAACTTTGGCCTGTGGGCCACATGCGCCCCACCGAGGACATTTATCTGGCCCGCTGGGTGTTTTTGCCACCGCTGCCCGACTCATCCCAGGGCCCGCAGTCCGGCCCTCCAATGGTCTGAGGGCCAATGAACTGGCTCCCTGTTAGAAAAGTTTGAGGACCCCTGCTTTAGGAGGAAGCATCCAGGTGAAAGGCCACATCTTTTCACTAGTATAGCAAGTACAGCTTTGGCAAATTAGTAAAAAATATTCCTAAAATTAAAAATTCCCCCAGAGTCCAGAAACTTAGCTATTAAAATTTATAAAGAGGACTTCCTTTTAGGGCATGTTGAAAATGTTTTAAAAGCAACTATGATGATGGTTGTAGAATTCTATGAATATAGAGAAAACTATTGAATTAAATACTTTAAATGGGTGAATTGTATGGTATGCAAACTCTATCTTAATAAAGCTGTTAAAAAATATATAATAAGGCTCAGTACCTGTAGCTCAGTGGCTAGGGAGCCAGCCACATACACAAAGGCTGGCAGTTTCTAACCCAGCCTGAGCCTGCTAAACAACAATGACAACTACAACAATAACAGCAAAAAAATAGCCAGGTGTTGTGGTGGGCACCTGTAGTCCCAGCTACTTGTCAGGCTGAGGCAAGAGAATCACTTAAGGCCAAGAATTTGAGGTTGCTGTGAGCTGTGGGGTGTCATAACCCCACCCTC